CTACACCTGCAGCTTGTTTGTGAACCCCACTCCTTATGGCGAGCTGTTAATGGACAGGGGCTTTCACCAGGACTGCCTGTTGACAGGGGCTTGCTCAGCCCGCGCCGGCACCTGCTGCCCTTCTTGTCCAGCCGAGGATAAATGCACACATCTCCCAAGGCCTCCTGCAGCCCCAGGTATTTTGAGTGGGAAACCCGTATTGTCTCTGCTGATCATCCCATGAGCCTTCCTGGCTTCTGCTGTGAAGCTCTGGTCATTCCCTTCCACAAATGAGAAACAGCCGTCCAGCGATTCACTTCAAATAACAGGCTTTTCCCTGGATCCTGCCCAGTTTCTGTTTGTTTTTTCAGCTTTTTCTAGGAAAGGTAAGAGCCAAAAGAAGAATTAGGTTGCTACACTTTGTAGGGGCTGAGCTTTGACTGCCTTTTCCTGCACACTCAGATGCTGGAAACTCTCCTCCAGAGGCTGCAGAGGATCCAGGAGATCACAAAGAGAACATTTCTATCAAGACAGTTTTGCAGGAACCAGATAAGAACGTGGAAATCTTTTCCTTTCTACTGTCCTAAATCTTTTCCTTCCTACTGCTCTAGAGGTGGGGGGAGGCATTTTGGGAGGCAGTGGCAGGGCTGTCCCTTACCTGCCACCAGCTCTCCACTTTGAAATGAGCTCTGCAGGGAGCCCCCAGCCCAGCTGAGCATGAAACAGGCTTGGCATGTTTTTAAACACTTTCCAGTCCTTCTTTCCCCCCCCCTCTTTCTTCTTCCTAATGCCCATATGCCCCACGGTGGGTTTGCTAAGGACTTGGGTGCAGAGTAGCCCTGGAGCTGCTCTTTGCCATCACCACGCAAGAGCCAGGTGTGCCTCATGCCTGCCCCTAAGAGAGACGGGACAGAAAAGGGTGAAAAAAGACAGTTTTGGAAACTGCAGTTCCCAAACCACAAAGCAGATGAGCCTTAGCCTCTGCGATGGTGGCTGTGATGCACCCGCTTCCCTTCTCACCCCCTCGGGGATGCTCTGGGTGCCTGCAGGGATAGAACCATTTCGGTGGCATGGAAGACTTAAGGCGCTTTTTAACCCAGTATCTCCACCTGGGTCTGCCCCAGGATTGTCCCATGGCAGGGTGGGTTTCCAAACACCCTTAATTCTCCATCGGGTCAGGAGCAGGGGAAAAAAAAAACCCTCATCCTCTCCGGGAAGAAAAGGCACTTTGTGGTTTCCCCAGAGCCTTTGAAAGGGCTCCAGGAGCAGAGGGGACGTACGTGCTTGTTTAAAGGTCCTGTGGAGGTCCGTGGAAATGAAACGCTGGAGTTCAAACGCTGGAGGCCGAGGCGGTGGCACCGCCCGGGGAGCGGGGAGTGCGGGGCCGGCACCGCCCGCACCCCGGCCCTGCCAGCGGGGCCCCGCTACCTGCCGGGCGCCTGATTGAATCCCGGCTTTTACGAGCGCTGACACCGTAATCTGTTACAGATGGTCACACAAGGTGGTCACCAAATGGTTCCTCCCGATAATCGCTGGCTGCTCCCCCCTCCCCACCCCCGCTGCCGAAACTGGAGGCTGCTCTACCTGGACGGGGCAGCCGGGCTGCGGCTTTACGGTGTGTTCAGTTCCTGTGGCGTTAAAGCGGAAAGGGGGAAAAAAAACCGTGAAAAAAAACCCTGCTGAGGTTTTGCCATGAAGCCCCTGGCTTCGCTGTGCCAGGGCAAGCACAGGGGACCAAGAGCAGGGGAGCACAGTAGTGCTGCCTGCTGCCCGTGCTGCCGGGGATGCTGCTCTGGGGAGGCTTCCTACCAAAAATGAGCTGAAGAAGCAATTGCAACTCATCCTCAGGCACAGCGACTGGGAGCAATTCTCCATCATGGAGGCTCAAGGATGTATTGAGACAGAGAAAGGACAGAAGAGGAGGGATCAGGGCCACGTTCATCACTCTGTGATGGGGCAGCACCTTCTCCAGACCTGGGCATAACCTGGGAAGGCCAGAGGCACTGCCTGAAGCTGTGGGACAGCATCTGAGCAGCCGTGAGTCCCCGGGGCGCAGGCTGCTCCTGTCTAAGCAGCCAAGGGTGCCAGGATGCAGGGTGCTCACATCTGAGCAGCTGCAAGTCCCCGGGGCACAAGGTGCTGGGGCAGGGCAGGGAAAGGAGCAGATGCAGCAGCAATCCAAGTGCCAGTGGGCTGCACTTTTGTGATTCAGAACAGAAAGCGTTTCTTTTTTTTCCAGTGTTTTAAGGCTGCATTTGTGTTTGAATGCCAGCAGGATTTGCTACTTGGAGCCTAGGCTGTCTTCTACCGTTTGATACCTTCTCTCTGAAAGCCTTGTGTCCCAACCAGGCTCTGGACAAAGCCAGGAACACAACTGAGAGCAGGAAAGATTGCTAAGAGGGTGATTTCTCACAACTCTTAATCTCAGGGTTTTCTAGTGGGTGCCAGTGCAGGGAAGAAGCAGCAGCCCTAACGATGCAGGAAAAGGTCCCCATCTGAATCGGTGACAGCCAGGCCACATGTGGATGGGGGTGAAGCACAGCCTGTGTGGTGTGGTTGGATACACAGCAACAACTGAGGCTCTTCATATCAGAGTTGCACAGCCAAGACCAACCTGGGCTGGCTGGACAGCCTGCAAGGGCTCGTCGGGCTTCTGGTCGCTGTTTACCCGTTCCTTCATCCTCCTCCTTTCCAGCTCCTGCAGGTGGTCCGTTCTCAAAATTGGTCTTTTTTTTTTTTTTTTTTTTTTTGTAAACACAGTCTTCAAGCCAGAATCAAGATCAGAGTCCTGTTATAGTAGCCAAGGCCCCTCTCACACAAGGTAATGAAACAACAAATAAGAAGAATAGTCCTTGTCCCAAAACACCTGCATCGGCTCCAGGATTTTATGGATGGAAAGCTGAAAGTAATTAGTGCCCCTCCCCCGCTTCCTGTTGGGAAAAGGAAGAAAAAAGCACACACAAGAGCAAACCCAAAACTTCCTGCTCTGCTTAATAACCAAGTAATGAGTCCAGCTCGGCTGGGAAAGTCGGTTTATGCTGGGTGAGCTCTTAATTAAAGAAGGGCTGAGCAGCAGCTCTGCTCCCTTTTACAGCCACACACATCTTCCTACTCCTAACAGCTCCTGGGAGAGGTGTGAGGAGCTGGTCACCAGCAGGCTGAGGCGGAATGAGTGCTGGAGGCACACACTTTAATTCCCTGGTTGAAAACAATGCCTTGGAGATGACATCGAGGAAATGCAGGGGGAGCAGGAGAAAACCTTAGCCACTGCAGGAGGTAGGTGCTGACACTGTCCCTGAAGCACCCCAAATTCAGAGGAGGCTGGGATAGTACAAGGCGTTGTGAATATTTGTGCATTTGGGCACGGCTTCAATAGGAAAATTCGACCTGGGATATCCCAGAGCACCTGCCCCTCTGTTGTCGTCCCCCCCCCCGGCTGTGGGTACTCAGGGGACAGCCTCATCTGCACATGCAGACAGGCTCTGTGGTGACAATAAGATGTGTCACCTCTGCTGCCACACCACCCACAGCAGGTCACTGTCCCGGAGGCTGAGCTCACCGAGATGCCTGGTGCTTCAGTCATCCCCAGGGAGGCTCAGGGGCCTGCCAAGAGCTGGAGACTCTTGAGGTGGCAGAGCAGTCCCCCGTGCTGCTCTACAGAGAGCACTAAGGGACACAGCCAGGCTAAGGGTGTTCCAACGGCCCTGTGAGCAAGCCCTTGTGCTTTCCCATGCAGAGCCAGAGAGACCCACTGCACCCCCAGCCACCCCGTGTGTCCCCCATCCTGCATCACTGCCCAGCTGCCCCTTCCCCAGCTCTTGGGCAGGAACTGACTCAACCTGCCTTTTCCTCCCCCACTCTGCAGATCCCCTCCTGTGAATGCCACTTACAGCTCACCTGCAGCCAACAGCATGGGGGAAACAGGAGAGCCAAATTCAGCACCCCCACCCAGCCCAGCCCCCCACCACACTCCCCACTGCTACATATTCACCCTAAGCACCCACAAAACCCTATTATAAATTAACCATTTTATTGAATATCAATAAACTGTATATAATTATATAAAAAGTTTCATCAGTACAAAATTGTAGCACAAAAATATAAATACCAGTGTACCTTTGAAATGTAAACATCCTCTTTGTAATGATTCCATGAAAACAATGTCCAAAGAAAGATGCATTCAGGAGGCACCTGTCAATACCCATAAATAGGGCTTTTGGCACACACCTGTCGATGGGCAGCCTTGGGACAGGCCACCATTGTATCGGCTGACAAGTGCCTGCTATTAGTCACAGTTCTCTTGAAAAGCAGTTGTTAAGAGTCATATTAACAGGTGCTTGAGTGCATAGCTGCTCTGTAAACAGGGTTCATGTTTGAAATGGCTACCCATGCCTTTTATGGACACTGTTAATCTCTCAGGCATTGCAAATTGTCATTGTGCTGGGGAGAAGCAGCTGCTTCACAACTACTGGGATACTGTATTATTGCATAGTTACACCTTCTACAGGCGGCATATATACATTTGGGGCGGGGGGGGTAACATTTTGTCCTTCATTAAGAAAATATTGATTCTTAGAAGTTACCAAGTGGTTATGGAAGAAACAAAACACAAAGAAACAAACAAACAAAACCAAAACACAGCTTCCCCCGCCCCCCCTCCAGCTACATGGTCGCAATGTTTGATACCGGTGGTGGGGTCAGGGTGCAGGTCCGACCCTGCAAGGTGCTGAGTGCCCCTGGCAAGCGGGGGCAGCCTGCTGTGCCCCCCGAGTTTCACACTCGCTTTGTAACCCACGCTTTGCACCGGAGCCCGATCCTGCACCCTCAAACGCCAGGGTGGGAGAAGCATCAGGCCTTCACATCGCAGAGAAGGCACCAAGCCAGGTGTGAGGGTCTCCAGGGCCAGAGGAACTGCGTCCAGCCCGGCGCACACTGCGATGGAGACGGAGGAAACTAACTCCTACAGAAACTAGTTATAATATAGGTATTTGCGTGGTGAGAGGCCTGGGGGAGCAGAGTCCTCAGCGAGAGCCAGAGCAGCCCGTCTCCTCGTGCTTGTGGAGCAGGGACATACGGGAGAAAGTCCGGGAGCAGGTTTTGCATTGGTACTTCTTTACATCTGAATGGGTCTGCAGGTGGGCTCGGAGATTAGAGCGGTCAGCAAAGGCCCGGTTGCAGTGTGTACAGGAAAAGGGCTTTTCACCTATGGGACAAAGAGAAACGCTCCCAATTAACCAGTGCATCAACACAGGGGGAATATCAAAGAAGGAGCCATTCATTAGCCAAAGTTTGTGAAGAGCACAGTGAAAAGAAGTGCTGGTTGTTATTGTTCAGAGGGAAAGCCAGGCGAGGTATGTACAGCATTCACTTGGGGAAAGCCACGGACTTGGGAATTTCCTACTCCCAGAAAAGCCTCTCCTAGGCACCAAGGAAAATTAATGCTGGAAACATCTGCAAGCAGCAAGGCGGTCGCACATACAAACGCAGACGCGATATTCGTCTCCTGCCTGGAGCAAAGCTAAACCGTTTGCAGAGAGGCAGGAAAGCCAAGCACTATGTGTTAATTATATCATAGCAGGCAGCGGCTGAAAGGCGCCAGCGCCAGGGTGAGTGCAGCTATTTCCTCCGCCGATCCCCGCGCTCCCCCTTCTCCCACCCGGCTCGCATTGAAAAGCCTGGCCAGGCGAATTCCTCCCAGAAAGACTCTTTTGGAGGATACAAATGAGTATGCTCAACTTGGAAAGCACAATTAAGTCTTCCCGGCTTCCTCCAGCCCTCATCTTTTAGTACGTTAAGAGGGTGTGAAATCAGTGCCAAGTAACAATTACCCTACCCCCGCAGCCCCACAAAGGATGTTCAGGAGATGCATTGTAGGGGTGGCCGGGGTGGGCTGCAGCTGCGACACCCGGACTGCGCCAACAGGTGCAGGGGGTGGTCGGTCCCGTGGCCCCGCACCTGCCCGCAGGGCTCGCCCGGCCCTGCTGGGCTGTACCCCGGCATGAGGGCACTTTGGAGCAGTTCACGGCTGCTGCACGGGGCGGAGGGTCAGAGGCCACAGCGGTGGGCAGCGGGGTCGGGGTGCTGCCCTGGCTGGGAGCACTCGGTGTGGGCAGAGGATGCTTGGGGCATGGCAGTGCAGAGGGAGGGGGTGCCCCATCAGTGCCCTAGCCCCAGTTTATGGCACTGAGCTGGGCCATCACACCACGCCCGACGGGCGGGCAGGCACGGCACGAACAGCAGCAGCACAGATTTATGAGCTGAGCCTTGCCCCTACGGCCGGTTCCAGCCGAGAGGATATATAAAGGACATTTTAGAAAGATGTGCCAAGGGGGTTTGGGAAGCCCTTATCTTCCCAGATAACACTCAGCCCACCGATTTGCTGAGGGCCGCAGAGCTGGGAAGCGGGAGGCGATAAGGGAGGGAGGGAGGGAGAGGGGCAAGAGCCAGCGTTACCCGTGTGTGTCCGGATGTGGCCCTGCAGCAGCCAGGGCCGGGAGAAGGCCTTGCCGCACATCTTGCAGACACAGGGCAGCGTGTGGCTCCGGATGTGCATCTTGAGAGCCCCCAGGCTCACGTATTCCTTCTCGCAGTACTTGCAGCTGAAGGATTTCCTGGCCTGGGCGTCGCAGTGCAATTGCTTGTGCTTGGAGAGCCCGGCGAAGGTGGAATAAGCCTTGGCACACTGGGCGCAGCGGAAGCGCTCGGCGGCGGCGGGGGCCGAGGCTGGGCTGGGGGGCCCCGAGCTCTTGCCTTCATCCTCCTCGCTGGAGAGGGCGGTCAGGTCCAGGGCAGGAGCCGCTCCGCCCGCCGCCTCGCCGCCCGGGC